TACCGCAAAAAAAAAAAAAAGAATTGGAGCTGGGTAGAGTTGGAGGTCGACGGAGCTGGGTTTGTGTCAGACACGGGCGCTGGCCACTGGGTGGCGCTGGGTGCCGGTGGAGGAGGGTTTTGGGCGGTGAGTGTTGGACACAACAGAGGCCACGCGAGGCAGGGTGGAGGGGAACAGAGCAAGAGTGGGGAGCAGAGGGGCCTCACCCCAGCCTGTGGCGTAGCAGAGCGGCTTCCTGGGGCCCAGGCACATGCGCACAGCCACCACCTTGCTGCACAGAGGCAGCCCTTCCGCCAACATCCAGGAGAAGCCGACCAAAAAGAGGAGGTGTATCACTGCTGTGACGGCCACACACGCCACCTGTGTGGGAGGGTGGGGGATCCCCACGGAGGCCGGTCATGGGTGCGGTCCACCCTGGGTCCCCTGTCCGTGCCTGGCGTTGCCAGCCCAAAGCAGTATGAGCGGGTAGGTTCTCGGGGCAGCGCCCTGGGCCCAGCTCCAACATTCGGGGTCTTTCCTCTCTAGGCCGTACTCCTCCCCGGAAATGGAGCCAAGTGAAGACATGGGGGGCAACCTAGAAAAGGCTGAAGGTGCTTTCCCAGGCCCCCCTGAGCTCACAAGCCCACCCGCTGGCCGCCCACCTTGTTGGCCTTTGCCCACTCGTTGGCCATGAGGAAGCCCTCGGCCGAGGCCAGGGAAAAGGTGAGGGTCTCGTGGACTGTGGCTCGTTCTGACTGGGGGACCCCGGACAGGCAGAGGAGTTGGTTAGCAAGGACCGCCCCCTCCCCACCTGCGTCCCAGTGAACCGGCCAGTGGAGGAGGAAAGGGCGGCTCCACAGGGGCTTCTCGGACCGAGGATGGACACCCACCCGAGGAGGGATGTGAAGGCCCACGAGGGGCGGGGCGGGGCGGGCCCAGGGTGCCAGGCAAGGTGGTAAGCTTGCCTCACCCAGCTGCCAGGAAGAGCAAGAAGGTGGTGGCGAGGGCACAGGACACACTGCAGCCCACAGACGAGAGCGTCCTCAGCAGAGACCCCACCCCCCCCCGTCGGGACCCCTCTGTGGGAGGGACAGAGACCCTGAAGGACAGCAGCCCCACCACCGCCCTGGCCCGGCGGGACTCGCCCGCCCCGCCCGGCAGCTCCCAGGCTCCTCAACCGCCTTCTCTGCCGTGAAGCAGGGATGGCCAGGCCTGCACACAGCAACTTGATAATGAGCATTTGCATGTCCTCTTCTGCTGGAGAGGAGCCCAGCTTTCACGGACTCCTCAGATACCGAGAAGCCCTAGACTGTAAGTGACCACCGACACGCCCATGGGGAGGAGGGGTGGCATGTGACAACTACCCACTGAGGGGGGAACAGGGAGCTGGCACGGATTACTCACGATGTGTCCGATGTCCACGCTCTGTTTTTACAGGAAAAATGCGTTTGGTAGCATGTTTTCAAGCATGCTCCCGAACAGGCCAAGTGACCCCAGCATTCCTGGGCTCAGACACCGTCTCACTCAGCCTGAGTCCCCTTCTGGTCCAGCGAGCCCACCTTGCTTGGCCTCCTCCTGGAATTTGGCTTCCCCGCAAGGCTGTAAATGCTAATGCCTCTCAGGGGCCTGTCTTTAGTCGCGACTCATTTTATTTCTAACCTCACCTTGGCCATGGCTTTACCTTCTGGCTCTTGGGGCCAGCTGAGACCCCTCCCGCCCCGAGCACCAGACCACAGACCCCACAGACCCGCAAACCCGTTGCCCACCTGTGCCTCCTGAGACGAGTCCCTCATCTCCCGGTGGCCCAGGTCACACCTCCTCCTCAGCCAAGTCTTCCTCATCTCCCCACTGCTCCCTGGCCCAGGGCCCCTCCCCTCTCCTAGGCCAGGCCCGCAGCCCCCGAACTGCTTTTCCCCCCTGGCCCCCACCTCAGCCTCACTCCCCACACCAGCGGCCTCCCTCATGTAAATCTAACGCCTGCTTCACACTCTTCCACATCTGCCCTCTGCAACAGGACCACGATCCAAGCGCGTGGGCCTGGCCTTCCAGGCCTGTGTGATCTGACCCATGCCTGCCTTGTTCACTGCCATCCCCCGACCCCGGGCATCACACTGGAAGCCCCAGACACACTGCAATTCTAGAACGTAACTCGTCTGCCATTTCTAGCCTCCTTGCCTTTGCTCAGATGGCCCTCTGCTTGGAATGCCTTTCTGTTCAACTTCTGTGCATCCTTTAAAACTTGGTTCTGACATCACCCTCCCCTGCCCCCCTGCCCCCTCCCCAGTACTCACCTGGACGTTGTACACCTGCAACAGGACGGCGCTGTGGTTGCAGAAGCAGGCGGTTGAGTCCTGGTACAGAGCGGTCATGGAGCAGCCAGTGGTGGCCCAGGAGCCCCCTGAGTCTGGGCTTGGGGTGAATAGTGAACAGAGGGCTCTTGAGATGGGCTGGACATGGGGCTGGGGGACAGGTGGCAAGCAGGGGAAAGCCTCTCCCCAAAGCCTGGGGTCCCTCAGTGCCCTGCCTCTAACCAGCTATGTGACCTTGGCCAAGTCACTGCCCCTCCCTGGGTCTCAGTTTTTCATCTGTAAAATGTACTTTTCTCAGGAATGGTAGGAGGTTGTGGTTGATACCAATGATCACCACTGATTAACTGCATTAATTACTAAGCAACAGTGATTGATGTTCATTCCCTCATCAACTCTAACACCCATTTCACAGATGAGACTCTCCCTAGGTACCCCACAGAGTAGGCTTGCATACCTACTATGATAGGGAGCTCACTACCTCCTGGGTAACAGGCTCTCCTGCCCCAGCTTATCCCCAGTTGAGTGGGGCTTGGAACCACCCCTGCAAGAAATTTGGTGAATGGAGGCCAAAAACATGCTTGAGTCCTGCCTCATCCTCAAGTAGAATGGACTTTTTTTTTTAATTTTAAACATTTTTTATTTTTATTTTTTGGGCCATACTGCAGGGTATGTGGATCTTAGTCCCCCAACCAGGGATGGAACCTGGCTCCCTGCAGTGGAAGCGCGGCTCTTAACCACTGGACCACCAGGTAAGTCCCCGGATGTCTTTTTTTTTTTTTCAAGTGCCTTATTTAAAGAACTTGGGGGTGGGCTTCCCTGGTGGCGCAGTGGTTGAGAGTCCGCCTGCCGATGCAGGGGACACGGGTTCGTGCCCCGGTCCAGGAAGATCCCACATGCCGCGGAGCGGCTGGGCCCGTGAGCCATGGCCGCTGAGCCTGCGCGTCCGGAGCCTGTGCTCCGCAACGGGAGAGGCCACAACAGTGAGAGGCCCGCGTGGCGCAAAATAAAAAAAAATAAAAAAAAAAATAAAGAACTTGGGGGACTTCCTTGGTGGTACAGTGGTAGAGAATCAGCGTTACAACACAGGGGATGCAGGTTTGATCCCCGGTCAGGGAACTAAGATCCCACATGCTGCGGGGCAACTAAGCCCATGTGCCACAACTACTGAGCTTGTGTGCCTCGGCTAGAGAGCCCACGTGCCGCAAACTACAGAGCTCATGCCCTCCGGAGCCTGAGCACCACAACTAGAGAAGAGAAAACCCGCATGCCACAACTAGAGAGAAGCCCACGCACCACAACAATGATCCTGCATGCCTCAACTAAGACCTGATGCAGCCAAAAATAAATAAAATTTAAAAATTAAAAAAAATAATAAAGAAAGAACTTGGAAACTCACCCGATGCTGAAGTTCCAGAAAGCACAGACAGGCTCCACCAGCTTTGGAGGGAAGGCCTAAGGGCAGCCAACAGGCACAGGGCAGGTGTGTGAGCACATGTGGGCAAGGAGAGAGGCCAGACGATGCAGGGGGATGTGGAGGCCTCCTGCGTTTGAGGGACCAGGGGGTTGCCCAGCATGGGTCGTGGGTGCAGGGACTGGAGAAGAATGCCGGCAGGGCGGCAGAAGGAAGGTGAAGTGAGTAGAGTTTCAGGCTGGCATTATGGTTAATATCGAAATCCTAGGAACAAGCTAACAAGCTAACAAACCACTATGAGTCTTCCCTCCAGGATGCTCCGCCTAGTAAGAACACACAGGTCTCTATCTACTGTTGGGGAAAGAGCTTGCCATATATATATATATATATATGTGTATATATATATATATATTTTTTTTTTAACATCTTTATTGGAGTATAATTGCTTCACAATGGTGTGTTAGCTTCTGCTCTATAACAAAGTGAAAAAGCTGTACGTATACATATATCCCCATATCTCCTCCCTCTTGCGTCTCCCTCCCTCCCACCCTCCCTATCCCACCCCTCTAGGTGGTCACAAAGCACCGAGCTGATCTCCCTGTGCTATGCAGCTGCTTCCCACTAGCTATCTATTTTACATTTGGTAGTGTATATATGTCCATGCCACTCTCTCACTTCGTCCCAGCTTACCCTCCCCCATCCCCGTGTCCTCAGGTCCATTCTCTACGTCTGCGTGTTTACTCCTGTCTTGCCCCTAGGTTCTTCAGAACCATTTTGTTGTTGTTGTTAGATTCCATATATGTGTGTTAGCATACAGTATATGTTTTTCTCTTTCTGACTTACTTCACTCTGTATGACAGACTCTAGGTCCATCCACCTCACTACAAATAACTCAGTTTCTTTTCTTTCTATGGCTGAGTAATATTCCATTGTATATATGTGCCACATCTTCTTTATCCGTTCATCTGTCAGTGGACACTTAGGTTGCTTCCATGTCATGGCTACTGTAAATAGAGCTGCAATGAACATTATGGTACATGACTCTTTTTGAATTATGGTTTTCTCAGGGTATATGTCCAGTAGTGGGATTGCTGGGTCGTATGGTAGTTCTATTTTTAGTTTTTTAAGGAACCTCCATACTGTTCTCCATAGTGGCTGTATCAGTTTACATTCCCACCAACAGTGCAAGAGGGTTCCCTTTTCTCCACACCCTCTCCAGCATCGCCATATGTTTTTCAGTACAGGAAAAAGCTGCCTGACATTCTGCATAGTAGGAGCCCATTTATGGTTAAAAAAAAATAAGGTTCTATGTAATTGTGAAAACACATGCACAAAAGGTCTGGAATCAAACACACAGCCAACTTAACAATAGTTAGGTCTCAGTTTGAATGTGTTATAATGAACATGTTAGTTCTTTTGTAATGAACAATGACAACACTATGGACTTTATAAGATGTCATCAAGCAGAAAGAAGACATCAGGTGGCAGGTGGTATCTGTCCCAGACCAAGCAGGGAGGCAGCCTAAGCTCAGGACTTGGGCTATTTGTCCCGACTGGGGAGGGTAACAGCAACATCACCTCACTAGAATATGATACTTTGTGATTTGCAAAGTACTTTCATGTCCTTTATTATTGTTGATATTCATAGCAACCTAGGGGACAGGTATAAATTTATGTAATTTCAGATGAGGAAGGTGAGCCTCAGAGAGGGGAATTAATCTGTTCGAGGTCACACAGCAGAGAGCTGAGACTGGGTTTTGACTTGGTCGACTCCATGCTCTTTCCACACTCTGTGACGATGCCTCCAGAGAACATATTATTCCTAGGGTTGGCTGAATTATTACCACATGTATTCATTCACTCATAATATTTTTCCTGGGTCTCAGGTACTATGTTAGGTGCTGGAACACAAAGAAAACCTGCTGTTTGCTTTTAAAATGGATGGTTGTTACACCACTGGTAGCATTTTCAAGTGGTACAAACTGAAATATCAGTGCAGCTTATACACTCAAAAGCCACAAAACTGTTGGTGTCCATTAGCTCCATACCTGGCCATATATCCCCAGGAGACAGTCACCAGAATCAAAACATATTATAAGTGAGGATTTTCACAGGGTTAGGCAGGGTTAATTGTAATAGAAGAAACTCTGCAGATACTCTGGATGCATGGAGGGGAAGGGGTCAAGTTCATTTTGGACCATCCCCTGGGAAGGGGGTGGGCGGTTCTGGACTTGGCCGCAGTCAAGGCCTACGCATTGCTAGGATCAAGCAGCAGGTGAGAAAGGACAGGATGGCAAAGGGACATCTGTGACAGAGACAATGCAGAAAACACGTGTGGGGAAAATGAAAAACACAAATGTTTACATGGCTCAGCTGAAAGCGCAAGGGCTTTGATTTTGCAAAAGGGAAAAAAAAAAAAATATATATATATATATATATAGTATTATGTACCCAGAAAAAGGCTGAAGGGAAACACATGGAAAAGTTTAGGGCAGCTACCTCTGGGTAATAGGATTTGTCTGCTTTATCCTTTTCTACATTTTCCAAATTTGCCACAATAAGCAATCCCTTACTTTTATTTATTTTTCATTTTAATGTATTTTAGTTCATATAATTAATATATAAATACAATCTCAGAAGTTAGTTGTTTGAAAATATAAACAAAATTGGTAAACTTCTAGCTAAACTGATCAAGAACGAAAAGGCGAACATCATTATAAATCCTACACATGTTAAAAGGATAATAAGTGACTATTATGAACAACTTCCTGCTAGAACTGAACAGCCTAGATGAAAGGAACAATTTCCTTAAAGGGCACAAATTACTAAAACCATCTCAAGAAGAAATAAAACACCCCAAACAATCCTATATCAGTTTAAGAAATAACTCATACTTTAAAAACTTCCCACAAAGAAAACACCAGGCCCGAAAGACTTCACTGGTCTTCACTGGCCTATCAAGCATTTAAGGAAGAAATAATACCAATTCTGCAAAACTCTCTTAGGAAACAGAGGAGGAGAGAACTCCCAACACATTTTATGAGATCAGGATTAACCTGACACCAAAACCAGAGGAAGACAGTATAAGAAAACTACAGAACATATTACATATTCAAGAATATAAACACAAAAATCCTTAACAAATATTAGCAAATTGAATCCAGCAATATATACAAAGGATAATACACCATAACCAAGTGGGGTTTATCCCAGAAATCCAAGGCTGGTTTGACATTTGAAAATCAATCAATGCAATTTACTATATTAACAGAATAAAAGAGAAAACCATATGATCCTATCAATGTGGAAGAAACATTTGGCAAAATTCAATAGCCATTCACGATAAAAATTCTCAGCAAAGCAGGAAGGAAAGAGAACTTAATCTGACAAGGGGCATCTACAAAAAGCCCACAGCTAGCATCACATTTAATGGTTCAAGACTGAATACTCTCCCCCCTAATGTTAGGAACAAGACAAAGCTATTTGGTCTCATCACTCCTATTTAATGCTGAACTAGAGGTCCTAGCCACTGCACCAAGGAAGGAAAATCGGAAAAAAAAAAAAAAAAAGGCATGGATTGGAAAGGAGAAAACAAAACTGTCTTCATTTGCAGACAACATGATCAGGGATGTAGAAGATCCTAAGAACTCTATAAGAGAAGCTACCAGAAGTACTAAGTGAGTCTAACAAGGCTGCAGGATACAATCTCATTATATAAAAATCAATTGTATTACTATATACTTGCAATGAACAATTTAAGATTGAATTAAGAAAATAATGCCATTTACAAAAAAGGGTATATCTAACAAAATACCTTCAAGACCTGAACCCTGACAACTGTATATCACTGCTGAGAGAAATTCAAGAAAATCTAAATAAACAGAGGGATATACCTCGATTAAGGATTGGAAGATTCATTGTTAAGATGCCAGTTCATCATCTTATTTCAATTTGAGAGATTTAAGGCAATCCCAATCAAAATCCCAGCAGGTGTTTCCATAGACATTAACAAGCTGATTCTAGAATTTATATGGCAATGTGAACACCCTAGGCTAGCCAAAGCAATTTTGAAAAGGAAGAACAATGTTGGAGGACTTACACAACCTGATTTCAAGGCTTACCATACAGATACGTTAATCACAACACTATAGGGTTAGTGTATAGATCCCTGGAACAGAATAGAGAGCCCAGAAACAGACTTACACATATATGGACAATTGATTTTCAACAAAGGTGATAATTCAATGGGAGAAAGAATAATCTTTTCAACAAATGATATTGGAATAGGATGTCTATATGGAAAAATAATGAACTTCAACTCCTACCCAACATAATACACATAAATGAATTGAAATAAATCATAGACATAAATGTAAAGGTTAAAATGATAAACTTCTTTGAGAATATCTTTGTGACCTTGGGATAAGCAAGATTTCCTGGATAGGATGCAAAAAGCATAAACCATGCAGGATAAAAACTGATAAACCAGACTTTATCACATTCAAAACTTATCTTCCAAAGACACTGTCAAGAAAGTGAAAAGCAATCCAGAGACTAGAAGATATTATTCACAAAACACATAGCTGACAAAGGACTTGTATTCAAAATATATAAAGAATTCTTACAATTCAATGATAAGACAAATAATTTAAAAATTGGGGAAGAACAAAGCAGGAGGCATCATGCTTACTGATTTCAAGCTATATTACAAAGCTATAGAAATTAAAACAGTATGGTATTGGCATTAAAAACAGACACATAGATCAATGGAACAGAATAGAGAGCCCAGAAATAAACCTATGCATATATGGTCAATTAATTTATGGCAAAGGAGGCAAGAACATACAATGGGGAAAGAACAGTCTCTTCGATAAGTGATGTTGGGAAAACTGGACAGCCGCAGGCAAAAGAATGAAACTTGACTACCATCTTACACCATACACAAAAATTAACTCAATATGGACTAAAGATTTGAACTTAAGGTCTGAAACCATAAAAATTTTAGAAGAAAATATAGGTGGTGAGCTCCTTGACATGGTAGAAACAAACAAACAGAACAAAAAACCCAAACCATCCAATTAAAAAATGGGCAGAAGATCTGAATAGGCATTTTTCCAAAGAAGACACACAAATGGCCAACTGGTACATGAAAAGATGCTCAGCATCACTAAATATCAGAGAAATGCAAATCAAAACCACAATGAGATATTATCTCACACCTGTTAGGATGGTTATTATCAAAAAGACAAGAAATAACAAGTGTTGGAGAGGATGTGGAGAAATGGGGACCCTCATACACTGTTGGTAGGAATGTAAGTTGGTGCAGCCACTATGGAAAACAGTATGGAGTTTCCTCCAAAAATTAAAAATAGAAGTACCATATGATCCAGCAATTCCACTTGTAGGTATCTATCCAAAGAAAATGAAAATACTAACTCAGAAAAGATATATGCATCCCCATGTTCATGGCTATTTACAATAGCAAAGATATGGAAGCAACCTAAGTGTCCACTGATGCACGAATGGATAAAGAAATTGTGGTGTATAATAACAGAATGTTACTCAGCCATAAAAAGAATGAAATCTTGCCATTTGCAACAACATGGATGGAGCTCAATGGCATTATGCTAAGTGAAATAAGTCAGAGAAAGAAAAATACTGTATGATCTCACTTATATGGGGACTCTAAAAAAAAAAAATCAAGCTCATAAATGCAGAGAACAGATTGATGGTTGCCAGTGGTGGTGGGGCGGGGGCAGGGCGAAAAAGAGTGAGGGGAGTACAAAGATAAAATTTAAAAAGAGAGGATCTATATGGCTTATGTGCAGAAATGTCAGTAATCAGAAAAGCAAACAGCAGACTAATGCAAAAATTTTGGGAAAAAAATAATAAAGAACATTTCCTATTTAAAAAAAAACAGTGGCTCATCTCAAAATTTATTTAATTAAGAAAATGAAAATTGGGGAAAAGATTTGAACTTATATTTAACAAAGGAAGATATATGAATGCGTGATAAGTATAGAAAACGATGCTCAAAATCATTGGTCCTGAAGGAATTGCACCTTAGAACCACAATGAGACATCAGTACACAACCATTATAATGAACAATATTAAAAAGGCAGTTAAGGATGTTAGCAAAGGTATGGAACACTGCAATGCTCACACACTGCTAGTGGGAATGTAAGATAGTACATGACTTTGGAAAACAGTTGGACAGTCTCTTAGGAAGTTAATGTATACATATACTTATCATACGACCCAGAAAGTCCTCTTTTAGGTATTCACCCAGTAGAAAGAAATCATATGTCCACAAAAAGGCTGTATATGAGTGTTCATAGTGGATCTATTCATAGCAGCTCAAACTGGAGACAACTCAAATCTCCAACAACAGGTAAATGGAGGGTCTTCCCTGGTGTCGCAGTGGTTAAGAATCCACCTGCCAATGCAAGGGACACGGGTTGGAGCCCTGGTCAGGGAAGATCCCACATGCCGCAGAGCCACTAAGCCCGTGCCTTAGCTCTAGAGACCGTGAGCCACAAATACTGAGCCTGTGTGCCACAGCTACTGAAGCCTGCGCACCTAGAGCCCGTGCTCCACAACAAGAGAAGCCACCACAGTGAGAAGCCCGCACAATGCAAGGAAGAGTAGTCCCCGCTCGCCACAACTAGGGAACTCCCGCAAGCAGCAACAAAGACCCAACGCAGCCAATAAATAAAATAAAATAAAATAAAATAAAATAATAAAAAACCAAGTAAAAGGAAAAACAAATTATGGTCTATCCATATAACGGAATTCTACACAGCACTAATGAGAAGTGAATTACTGAAACAGGCAACAACGTAGATGATACTCGAAAATAGCCAGACCTGGGCTTCCCTGGTGGCGCAGTGGTTGAGAGTCCGCCTGCCGATGCAGGGGATGCGGGTTCGTGCCCCGGTCCGGGAGGATCCCACATGCTGCGGAACGGCTGGGCCCGTGAGCCATGGCCGCTGAGCCTGCGCGTCTGGAGCCTGTGCTCCGCAACGGGAGAGGCCCCAACAGTGAGAGGCCCGCGTACAGCAAAAAAAAAAGCCAGACCTGAGCAAAAGAAGCCAGACCATGGCACACACTATATGGTTCCATTTATATGAAGCTTTAGGAAAGACAGACAATCTAGAGTCACAGAAAACAGAGCAGTGATTTCCTGGGTCAGAGTGGGCAAGGCTGATGGGGAAGGGGCACGAAGAAGCCTTTTGGGAAGGTGGAAAAGTTCTATATCTTGATTGGGGCAGTGATGCATGAGTATATACACTGGTCAAAACTCATCAAGCTATACACTTAAAATGGATGTTTTAGTATATGTAGATTTATATACCTTAATGAAATTGATTTTTAAGAAGTCTTGAGATGATATACAAAAGATATAAGCTGTGGGGGTTGTGTGTGTGTCCAGGATTGGTGGTTTTGAGCAAAGGAGACTTTAGCTTTCTCTGAAATGCTCTAAAGCTTCAAAAGCGAGAAGGAATTTGTGTATTACATATAATGAATTAAATGACATATCTTGGTGATCTTTTCTTGTCAATTTACAGCAAAATACCTCATTCTTTACATAACCTCAGCTGATATTCCATTTTATAGCTCTATAAGGCTAAGTAATCCCCTATTGATGGACATTTAGGTTATTTTTATGCTTATGAAGCATACTGCAGTGCAGGTCTCTCATATCTCCCTGTATTATCTGATGGGAACCACCAGTTTTTCAAGTCATGCAGACATGTAATGAAATCCCAGCTCTGCCACTTATAAGCTGGTGCCAGGCACAGCACCTCTTCCAAGCTCACTTTTGTGGAATGCGCAGTTGGAAGATTAAATGAATGCTGATTATTTAAGTCACCCTCCATAAAGTAAGTGTGCAATGCACTACTGCCCTTCCCCCTCTCTCGAGGACAATGGGATGGCTTGTGGATGAGTATTTTTCTTGAACATTTTAGACCTTGGTTGTCCAGTGAGCAAATACTGGGATGTAGCGGGGGGCACCAAACCAGGATAACTGTACCAGGTGGCTGTTTCCCAGAAGCATCGCCCAGTACCTGCGCCCAGTGTTGCAGGTGAAAGGTCACAGCCGTGTTGGCCTCCCCGGTTTCATCCCACACCTCAGATGAGATGATTGCTGACCCCACCTAGGTGCTTAGGAACCTGTGGGGAGAAAGGGAGCTTTTAAGTGCACCAGGTATCTGTCGGGGAGAGGTCATACATGGCTGGGGTCATGTCATCCAGGCCCCTGCAGAACAGATGATACCCTCTGTGGAAAAGTGCTGTGCTGGGAATTAGGGCAGCTGGGTTCCACTCTTTCTGATAATTTGAGTAAGCCCTGTTCCCTCCCTGAGAGTCAGCACTGAAGCCAGGCCCCAGGCAGGAGCTGAGCCATGTTTCCACCAGCCCATCTTTGGCAGGCCCAGAAATCTGTGTGTGTCGGGGGGAGCAGGTTTGGCCCTGGGCTGCCAAGGGCAGATATGCCTAACAGAATGGGGGCTCTGGGAGGGGATGGAGGCCTAGCCTTCCCTGGTGAGGGGATCCAGGCCCTCAGCTGCCTGCTGGGTGGGACCCACTCACCTCTGCATTCTGCTTGCCTCTTCAGAGGTGTCCAGGGCCTGGGGCTCTCGGCCAGGGGCCCCCAGGGTGTACTGGAAAACACTTGAGCTGAACCAGCTGTGGATCATGGTGACTCCAGAGAGGCCTGGATGAATAGAAGGAGGCCTAAGACCCGCCCAGTGACTGAGCAAGCACCACAGGTTGGTCCTGAGGAAAATGCTCTGCCCACCTTACACATAGGGAAACTGAGTCTCATAGAGGTTAAATGACTTCCTGAAGATCACACAGTTAATAAGTGGCAGAACCAGAATTTCAACCAGCCATAGTTGATGTGCTTAACCTGCCGGCTCCAAAGCCCTTTGCCCCTTATCCTAATCCTCCACCCCTGGGTGGCACCGAGGGAAAATGTGTGGTTGAGGGGAAGAGACTAAGTGAACACCTACCACGTGGTAGGCGCTTTAAGCTTATAACAACCTGAGGTGAGTACTAATAATACAGTTTTACAGATGAGGAGACAGTTCTGAAAGGTGAGGTGACTTATTCAAAATAGCAGAGCTAGCAGCTGTGAGGGCTGAGGTTTGACCCAGACCCCAACAGGACCCCACCACCCCTCTCCCTCACCCACCTTTCAAGAGGAGCTGCCTCGCTTCAGCAGCAGGGATGAGGATGTGGCCAGGCCTCTCTGGATGCCCACTGGGCATCGTGAACACTTGGCCCTCCGTGCTGGTCTCCCTCAAGCGTAGGCTCCGCAACTCCAGGCTTGGGAGCAGATGGGGCTCAGGGGCTGGGCCTCAGCAGGGAGGTCTTTCTGCTGGGCTGGCCGTGCTGGCAGGGTCTGCTTCCCCTCTCCCTGCCACATACCTAGGAGGCCACCATTCCTGCACAGAGAGGTTCAGCAACTTACGCAAGGTAAGTTTGACTTCTCCAAGTCAGGGAGAGGGGGTCACTGAGAAGGGGGAGTCTCTGGGGGATGGGACATGAGTATCAATGAGCTGCCAGAAACCACTGGGCACCTGAAGGACCCAAGTTTTGCCTGAAGTTCCACCGTAAGTGCTCCCCCACTCAACCTACAAACATTTACTGAGTGTGCCCTTGGGTCTGAAGCTGAGATGCAGAACTGACTCAGAAATGGCCCTGGCACTCAGAGAACTTCAGGTGCTATTATGTAATTACCATAAAGGTGATAAAAGATATGTTCAAAACACCGGGGTAACAGAGGAGAGAGGAACTGTCGGGAGAGAGCTAGAACTGGGGAGGCTTCCTAGCAGAGCTGGTGCTCAAGCAGGGTTCTGAAGGATGTATGCGAGTTTGCTAGGAGACCAAGAGAGAAAGAGTATTCTGGATGGAGGGCACAGCATGGGCAAAGGCAGGAAAGAGAATGGAGTATCTGTGGGAGTCCGAGAACTCCCAGTGACCAGGGCTGAGGAGGATGTGTGAGCCCAGGCCCCACCCGGAGCCCAGATGTGTGGGATGGGTGGCGGGCAGGCTCGCTCACCGGCATGGCGGTGCTGGATGTGCTTTCGGGGCCGCTCAGAGGTCAGCATGGTGCTCAGCAGGGGCGCCAGGCGCTGCTCGCTGGCCAACAGGGCCCTGGGTCCACCCACCACCTGGGAGGAGGCCGCAACTCAGCCCTCTCTCAGACGCCACGCCCCACAGCTGCCTGCCCTGACCACTGCGGTTAACAGGATCTCAATGATCTGTGAGGTGGCCTGCAGGCTCCAGACCCTCAGTGGCTCTGCAGGGCCTCCAGGATCAAGTCCTGGCTCCTCAGACTGACACTTGAGGCCCTGCCTGATGAGCCTCCTCTGGCTTCTCCAACGCTCTCCTAAGCCACGTCATCCTCTAGTCAAGCCGAAGACCTCACAGTGCTCTCTGCCTGCTGGCAGGTTGCTTGCCGACCAGGGTACACTCGGAAGGCAGGGCCGTGCCTCCTGCTTGTTTGGTCTGGCTCAGTGTTAGATCTCTAACAGGTGCTCAAGTTTTAGGTTCCAAAAAGGAAACCACGCGGGGTGAGGACAGAACAGGGAGGGGAAACATGCGCTAATGGGACACCTCCTCTGTGGTGGGCAAGTCACCTGATAGACGCCTACTCCTCTCCATTGCCTAAGCAAGGCAGGTATGATCATCCCCATTTTCCAGGGAAGAAAACTGAGGTTCAGAGTCCAGTTTTCCCCAGTCTGTCACGGTGTCTCAGATCCCCAGTAAAATGTGGGCTTACACATCCCCAAGGATGGGGAGCATCACCTGGACAGGCGAACGTTCCACTGAACCAGCCTCCTGTGTTGTGCCATCCCCACCCCACCCCCAAGCCCAGTTTTGAATCACAGGGGGACCATGTCTGCCTCTTAAGCCCCAGAGCTTCTCAGGCAATGTTCACGACCCCTCGTTTTCTCCCTCTCTGGGCCGATGACTCCCAGGCCTACAGCCACTTCTGCCACGATGAGATTTCCAACACCCTCAGCATCTGTCTCTTCTGTTCTCCATGGCTGAACACGCAGCAGAGAGGACCTCCTAAAGGTGGTCAGTGGACTCTCGGATATGGGAGGCCCTTATTGACTAGTGGCTCTTAATTTTTAACTGCAGAAGTTGTTCAGGAGCACTTGTATGTGGAAGTTCAACTTATAAAACAGACAGAAGAAGGGCTTCTGATGGCTGGAGAGATGGAACTCAGAGATGGGCGCTGACTCACCGGTGGCTACACAGTCGGTGGCAAGGTAGGAACCAGAGCCCAGGCCCCTGCCCCACCGAGCCCTGCCAGCCTCACCTCGCTGACTGACAGCCACGCACCAGCCAGCTGCTCCTCCAGGACCAGGCTGGCCGCAGACACGATGGCCTGGCCCAGCTGCTCCCAGGGCTGAGTCGTGGGCTCTGGCTCCCATGTCCCAAGGGCTGCCACCCTTTTCAGGAAGTGCATGACAGCCAGCAGCGCAGCTGGCCCCAGTGGAGCTGTCTCCTTTGTCAGGACTCTCTTCCAGGAAGCTGGAGGCCTCGGCCAGGGACAGGTCTCCGTGGGCTTCAGAGAGAGAGGGTCAGGGAGGAACTGTGGAGCAGAAGAGCTGCTGACTGCTGGTCTGACTGTCTCAAGGGGACCCCCTGCAACCTTAATTCCTGCACACACATTAGGTGGGTGTCCCCTTTACAGATGAGGACACTGAGGTGCAGGGATGCCACCCACAGTGCCCCCAGACTCTGCAGCCTCCTGGGAGGGGGCTCACCACAATGACATTGGCCAAGGCGTTGACTTGGCTGATAACATCCTGGCCAGACCGTGACTGGGCGTCCTGCAGCTGCTGGTAGGTCTCTGCAAAGGAGTGGATGCCAGACTGAGCCCTGGGCAACATCGTCCGCAGAGGTGCCCCATCCGCCTGTGCCACTCAGGGGAAGAAGCCCACACTGACGGCTGTGTGTCTGGAGCCTTAGGCGTCCCGGATGGGGAAACAAGCAAAGAACGGCAAAATTGCCTGCTCGAGGTGACTGCTGCACAGCTGGGATTCACCCCCAGTTCCGTATGGCCCCATTGTCTGTGGTCTAGACTCCGTGGAGGCCCCCGAAACTCTGAGAAGATTCTGAATTCCCAGGCTGTGCCAACTGCTCCCCCTCAGCCTACACTGGTCCATACCCAGCGTCCCCTTCAGCAGAGCCCAAGGCACAGCCGGACAGGGCGCACCTGTCCGGTAGCAGCAGAGGAAGGGCAGAGGCTGCAGGCAAAACAAAAAGCCCTCGGTGCTGGGTGCTGGGCCCAGGGTCCTACGTAGGGCACTCCTCTGAGGGCACTGGCCAGGGTGGGAGAGGTGTCAGGGCTGCATCCTGGCTTCCCATCGGTCCCTGTGACCCACAGCCCCACAGTTCGGGCCTTGAAGGCGCCTGCACACTTGAGGGGGCGCCAGGACGCGGGGTCCGGGAGTTAGGGGGCGACGTGGGAACCTGGGAGAGAAGTGCTGCAGCCAACACTGGGAGCAGCAAGGTCGCCAGGGGTCGAGCCCATTCAGGCTGCTAGGACTGGGCAGACGCCCGAGGTACTGGAGGCCTGGAGAGGGCGTGGCCAGAGGTGGGCGTGGCTCGGTGGGAAAGAGGTGGGCTGGGTCCCCCAGTCGGAAGGGAAGCGGATGGGAGCCAGGAGGTTGGGGGTGTAGCCAAAAGGCGGGCGGGGCCTGACAAACAGGAGGTTGGGCGGGCCGTACCCAGACAGAGAAGCCGCGCCCGCACCGGCGGTAGCAGCGAGGGTGTGACGTCCAGGGCGCCCAGATCCCTGCGGAAGAGCAGGCCGCCGGGGGCGGGGGGTGGGGCGGCGCGCAGGCCCGTGCCCGGTGCAGCTGCGCGGGGCTCAGCGCCCGGGCCCACAGATGGAAGTCGGTGAGCTTGCCGCTGAAGGCGTCACGCGCCTAGAAGCCGCCGCCCAGAGAGTCCTGGTCCTGGCCCAAAACTAGGATGCCGCCAGGTGGCAGTGGGTGGCTTGCGCCTAGGCCCCGAGCCCCAGCGCGTCGCCGCCCGTCGGCGAACAGCGCCCAGCGCTCGCAGAGCTGCTCCCACGTGGCGCACACGTGGTGCCAGCGGCCATCCGCGCAAAAGGCAGCGCAGAAAGGCGCGTGGTGCCCGCGCACCGCGAGCGCCGCGTGCACGGCGCCCCCGGCTCGGCGAAGGCGCGCAGCTGCAGCGCGTTGGCCAGCGCCGGTACAGCCCGGGAGAAGAGTGCGGCCGCGTCGGATGAGGCGGCGTTCCACTGCACGTGCACGCACGCTGTCAGCGCCCCGAGCGCCGGCAGAGGCGTCCGAAGCCACGCCGCCCGGTCCGCGGTCCTCTCGCCGAACGTTAGTGCGGCCGCGGTGCGCGCGCCTGCGGGGACACACCTCGACCTCAGTTTCCCCAGCTGCGCACACCGTCCTGCTTCTGACGGCCCTTTGGCGCAGCTTTAGGGCCCCTTCTGGGCTTCTGGTTCCTCCCTCCCTCTGGAAGGAAAAATGGGGCTCCAGTGACCGTGCCCAGGGGTCAACCCTCTACTTTCAGTCCAGGACAAGGGAACCTGAGATGCGATGTGGACTTCCTCTGGGCTCAATCCACAAGGACTGTCACGGTGGGCTGCCATCTCTAGGTCACCAAAGCCCCCTCCCCCCAGCCCCCACTTCCCAGGCCCTGGCTCACACTCACGCCTCTGCGGGGGTCTTTGCAGAGGGGCCTCTCTTTTGCCCACCCAGATGGGGTCAGGCAGCCGTGGAGCGAGGACCGCATCTGGGTGCCGCAGTACCACGCGGCCAAACCGCTGCTCACAGGACTCTTGGGCCTGCCACCAGCTCAGCTGCTGCCCTGGGAACTTGCATACCTCATCTGCAGTCTCCACAACCTCTCCAGGGGACACTGGAGCTGCAGGGCGAGAGGAGGGTCAATGTGGGAGAAGTATGTGGGCATCTGACCCTTGCAGGGTGAGTAGAGTAGGCAGGGCCAAGGACACTGAGCTTGGAGTCATTTGGGGCTGGATGGGGCTGAACCCTAGCCATGCTTTATGACCTAGCAAGTTTTGTCCCCTTGCTGAGCCTGTTTTGTCATCTGTATAGTGGCAGGAATGAGATGGACGTGAGTGATGCTTTCAGCCCAGGGCCTCTTATAGGGGTGCTGAACTAAATGGCGCCTCCTCCCTTCCTCTGCATTCGAGGCCAGTGTAGCACATGGGCCACGGGCTGGCTGAACTGGGGGCAGGCAGAGCCTCTCTGTGGCATCCCTCATAGCAACCTGTGACCCAAGGGTTCCTTGATTCACCTGGGGAGTTGGAAGGGGTCCCAGAGAGACTCCTTATCTGAGAGAGAAGAAGAGAGGTGGGGTCTGAGTCAGGTCACCACGCCCATATGTACAGTTATTGAATGCCTACTGTGTGCTCCAGTGGGGTGCAGTGGAGGCTGCAGGCCCTGCAGTCAGACCTGGGTTCACCCAGAGGGTGATCTTGGGCAGGTCACTTCATTGCCCTGAGCCTGTTTCCTAGCATCCGGTGGATGTTTTTATTTCTATGTCAGGGGTTTAGCTTGTGTAACCTTTGCAGTTACCTCATGATGTGAGGTGGCCACTTGGAACCCTAGCAGCTTTGAGTCCCCTTGGCCTCCTCCCCTGCACCCCCCTGCCTCCCAGAAGTTCAGGTACCAGGAGGGCAAGGAGGCAGTAGCACCAGGGGGCCATTCTGGATCCAGCAGGGGCAGGCGGAACAGCAGGGGAGTCACAGGTGTGGCCAATGTGGACGGGGGAAGGAAAAAAGCACAGGAAAGCAGCTCACTGTCCTGCCTGCCTTGCTGTGCTACCCACTCTGTCATCTCGCCCCTTGTTTGGCTCCCAGACTCCACTGGGCTGGAAGGCCAGGATGGGATGGCCCACCCAGTGGGGATGACATTTACTGCACAAAGGGATGGTCTCCAGGAGCCTCTTCCAAGACCGCAGATGGGAAACACTGTAGCCCTGGTGAGCTGACAGGGGGTTGGGGGTGGGGAGGAGGGCAGCAGCTGTCCTCGGGCCAGAGAGTGGCGGAAACAAAGTGCAGGGGAATCACAGGTGTGGCCAATGTGGACTGGGGAAGGAAAAAAGCACAGGAAAGCAGCTCACTGTCCTGCCTGCCTTGCTGTGCTACCCACTCTGTCATCTCGCCCCTTGTTTGGCTCCCAGACTCCACTGGGCTGGAAGGCCAGGATGGGATGGCCCACCCAGTGGGGATGACATTTACTGCACAAAGGGATGGTCTCCAGGAGCCTCTTCCAAGACCGCAGATGGGAAACACTGTAGCCCTGGTGAGCTGACAGGGGGTTGGGGGTGGGGAGGAGGGCAGCAGCTGTCCTCGGGCCAGAGAGTGGCGGAAACAAAGTGCAGGGTCTCCTGGGGTGCGAGGGGAGGGAGGGAGAGCGAGCTCCAGGCCCTGTAGGCTTTCTCATGTCCTTTGGGCTTCTCAGTCTGGCATTCAAGGTTCTGCTCTATCAGGCCTCTGCTGAGCTCTCTGGCCTCACCAGTGCCACCATTCCCCCATGCAGCCACCTTTTCCCTTCCTCCCTAAGCTGCTCCCGTTTCCCCAGGCAACATCCCTTGTCCAGACCTTTGGCCATGCTGTCCCTCCTGCCTAGACTGGCCTCCCACTCCCTCAGAGGCACCACCTACAAGATCAGCTTGTGATCACTTCATCGCAAGTTTCAGTCTGAAACTTCACTTCAGACCTGCCACTGCCAGGTGCTGTAGTAAGCTGAGGAGACCCTAATCACACGTGATTTGGGGGTTGCTCTTGGCAGCCTGGGGGGGCTTCAGGCCAGCAAGAGCCCTGGCCAGGCACAAATGGGTCTCAGAAAACACTGGAAGTGAAGTAACGCCCCGCTGTGTCCCACCATTCAGCCTCATACCACCTGGAAGTCTGGAGCCATCACCAATGATAATTCATACCTTTTCTCCTTTCCCAGATAAAGTCTATAAGCATGAAAATCAAACAGATCCCAGCACGGGAGGACACGGAGGTTCACACATTTTGGACTCTGAAAAGCACCAATTTATTGTCACTTTCTCCCATTTTAAACAGTACTTGCGTCCACCAGGCCCCACCCCCAACCCCAAGTCAATGGGGAATTATAAGAGGCTGGTCCAGGGCATACAGTGTGGGATCAATAACTGCTGACGGCCCCAGCTTTCCGTTCACATCTGCCCGTATTTGCCCCCAGAGACTCCTTGGCACCCACCTTCCTTGCTCGCCAAACACTCGTTGGCCTTCAAGAGAGATGCGAAGTTTGGTCGTGCCGCTGCACGTCCCTTCTCCACAAGGCACCAGTAGGGAATCCCTCGTAGGCTGAAGGGCCCCGGGGCAAAGAGCTCCCCTTCACCCGCACTGATCCCTCCTCTGTTCACAGCCCAAGTCCTCACCCGCTTCTCCTGGCCTGGTGGCTGTGATCGGCTCAACCTCTGCAGGGTGTTTCAGGGACCGAATCCGGCATCTGCATCTGCGTGCTTTCCGCCTGGCAGCTGTCCGTGAGACCGACGGGTGCGAGGCGGTGCTAGGAGACCCCGCCCCTCGGCCCCAGCCCGCCAGTACCGGGACCCCAGCCGGCCAGCGTGCAAGGGACTGGGCAGGCGCGGGCCAGCAGTTGACACGTGAGTCCGCGGAGGAGGAGGGGGTCCTCAGTCTCTGGACGAGACCTGCGTCACACATCTCCCCACAACGCACAGGTAAAGTCACCCTATTAGAAGGGGCACCTTGTGAACCTCGGATCCCAGATTAGTTTGTGGAAACCCAAGGATCCTTGAACTCCCTAGTCCCTTCTCAGGCCAGGATGAGGAGGGAGCACCCAGCATCTAGCCTGCTACGTGCCCTGAGCTGATCCCCTACAGGCCTCATCGCCTTTACCTTCGACCCGATGTGAGGAGGGGCTGTCATGCCCATTTTCCAGATGAGGACTGAGGGCTTTCATCCCGAGTTAGACGGCTGGCCAGTGGCAGAGCCCGGCCTTGAACCTGGGCTCTGGGTCTTCATCTAGGTCATTCAGAAGGTAACACGAGGGGAGTTCCCTGGTGGTCCAGTGGTTAGGACTCTGCGCTTTCACTGCCGGGTTCAGTCCCTGGTGGGGGAACTAAGACCCCACAAGCCGCGGGGACCAAAAAAAGGTAACACATGATGGGGGGAGAGGCCCTGTTTGGAGGAAAGGGAGTAGGATTTTGGCTTCTGGGGGGGTCGGGGGGTGGCAGTGCAGAGGGAGGAGTCCCCACATCCCGGCATGGGAGGTGTGCAGCTGGGTCCAGAGGTAGCTGTGCTGCCTTGGTAGCAGGGGTTCCTGCTGGGGAGGGAGGTCAGACATCCAAGTTCATCTTGACACTGGAGCCACCTTGCATAATTTCTCTGAGGCCCTGTTTCCCCGTCTGTGATATGTGGATGATAAATAGTACACAACTCATGGGGCTGCTGTGCAATTTAAATGACTGACTTAATATGTACAAAGCCCATGGCTTGTACCTGGTGCCTGGCACACAGTTCACTTAGCATTCCTGTCAAAACTTAATTTACGCTTAATACCCAGCCAGCAACACAATGGTTTATTGTTTTCTTTTTTTCCAATTTTTAAAAATTGTGGTTAAATACACAACATAAAATTTACCATCTTTTGATTTTTTTTTTTTTAAAGAGGAGGGGAATCAAGGTGGATGATACATGGGTGTTCAGTGTACTCTTCTTTCAGCTTTTCTCCAGGTTTGAGAATTTTCAAAATAAAAACTGGTTATAAGAGGTCCCCACTTGGGGCAAAGCTCTGAGCATTTCCCGGGTTCCTGGGCCAGCAGAATGCACGCAGGACTTGGCCCTCTGGTGTCTGTGACCTGCTCACCCCTACCCACCCAGCCCAGTCTGGAGCCAGCGGGAAGGAAATGGGGGGATGGAGCCCTTGCTCTGCCCGGCCCTGGGTGGGCCCTTCCACACTTGCACCATCTCCTTCAAGACAGGGATTCTTGGGGCCCAGGTCTACATCTGTGCAAACTGAGCCCGGAGAGAAGTCAGGACTCACTTAAGGTCACACAGCAAGGAAGAGGTGGATCCCAGGTCTGCCTCCTAAGCCAGGCTCTTTCTCTCTGTGGGTGGGTGGGCTTTGTGTCGACCCCAACTCTCCCAGCCACTTTCTTATACCTTCTGGCACTCCTTGCCTTCCTGTCCCATCCCAAATCTCTCCCCTGTAACCTAAGTTATGACCTTCCCATCCTTGGCAACACCCCTGCCTCTGGGGCCCCCATCCCACTCCTTCCCTTCCTTGGGGTCACATTTCCCAGGAGTCACTCCTGGAGATGGCCAAGTACTATGAGGGTGTGGATGTGCTCCATGGATTCTGAGACTGTTTGGGGCTGTGACTCTGCCTAATCTCGCTTCCCCGGAGCCTGGTACTATCTTACTGGCAGCCAGGGGCCATTCATCGGCGTTATGGGCAGGCGGCTCTGACAGGCCCCTTGTCTCCATAGACAAGGCCCGGAGGCTGTGGGTGAAAGATGGGCCCTTGGGCTCATTGTCCGTGTAGATGGTGGGGGGTATGGCGGGGGGTGGGCAGGGGCGATGAGGACAGCCAGGGTCCTTCCTTCCTCCTGGGGCCTGGCCCTGTGCCAGACGCCCAGCCAAACTGTCCATAGTCCAGGACTAAGAATATTGGAAGGAGGAAGCCAGCAGCCGGAATGTTTTCACTTTGGGGTTACAACAGATCCCACACAACTGGGATTTGGCCATCAACCAACTTTAATGTGACCTGGGCGAGTCTCTCTGCTTCATGCCTTCTTGCACCAAATGTGGAAAATCACTCCTTCCTTTCAGGGACATAGAAGGTGGCTGTGAGAAGAGCTGTGTGAATACTGGGGCTGGGAGAGCCCCCAAACCTGGGCCTATTGTCATTTTCTCTCTGGGGAGGATGGGCTTCTGCTCTGCAGACCAAGTCCCTTCCCCTCTCCTGACCCCTGCCTACTCTGGGTCCTGAGAAACCCGGACAGGCCCAGAACCAGCCGTGCCTTCCCTCTTATCTGCCCTAACCCCCCTCCACTGGGCAGTCGGAGCAGGCTCTCTAAAATTTCCATCCCCTGCTCAAAACCCTTCTGTGGCTCCCTGATGCTCCAGGAGAAAGTCCAATCTTGGACACATGGCTAACGTGACCCATCTCTGCCCTCCTTCCTCCCTCACTGTGCCTCTTCCCCTTCACTCAGTGGCCCAGCCTGTGACCAGACTGAACATTTTGCTATTCTCACCCCCGGGCCTTTGCACGTGCTATTCCCTCTCCCCAAGACTAGGCAGGAGTACCCCACCTCCAAGTCCTTTCTGGCTCATTTCTACTCATCCTTCAGGTGTCCACTTAGACCTTCTAGGATTCTTTCCCTGCATCCTAAACTGTTTCAGGAGCCCCCAGGTCCCTACAAAAGCCAGGGAACTATCTGCCTTCCCCCTACGCCCCCAGCACCCAGGAAAAGCTTGACAGAGAGAGCACTTTGTGTTTGTTGAAGGACTGAAGGAATGATCCCACAGATCTAGACACACCCAGACAGACACCTTGTGACCCTAAGGTTTGCATGTGAGTGTGTGCCCAGGGGTTGGTGTCGGGGGCAGTGGGAAGAGGACTTGGCTTAATGGCTCCCAAGGCCTGACAATCACACCACCAGTTGTGGCCACACAATTGGTGAAACAACTATTTAGTGCCAACCTGTTTAGGGCCCTCCTCAGCCAGTGCACAAAGAGATGCCCCTCTTTCCCCCTCCCCACCTGGCGCCACCTGTCGCTGGGGCAGCTCCAGGAGCAGGGAGGCAGAGGCAGCTAAAGTAGTGGCCTTGAGCTCGA